GAAGCCAAAATCTCATTCAAATGCCATTATCCTTTCCATCGTTCTATGTGCAGAAACTCAAATGAAGCAACCAGAGAGCAGCATGGGGATTCATATAGTTCTATATATTTTTATTCTTGTGTCGTTTTATTTTAAAAGTGTGAATGGATCCCCAAATTGTATGGAATCTCAAAAGTTTGCTTTTTGGGACCCTATCGTTCTGGGCACCCTAACTAAAGGACGAAACCTGTTTTAAAATTTGTATCTCAGACGTAATTGGTGTCTTCCTTCTCAAGTGCATTTATTTTTGTTTTCTTTCGAGACATCTGATTGACATATATAATTAGTTTCTCACCTTACTTCGTTAGAAGAGAAAGTATGGTAATCGTGCGCCGGAAATCAAAGATGTTTCGATAGAAAAACAATTGCCGGGCCAAAAAAGGGAATAAAACATGTTCCCACATGTTGTAAATAACTTCCTCTAAGAAGAAGTGAACCATGTTTTGTTGATACTGAATAATCGATTAAAAGTCAAAACGTTTGTCTGTCCATCCGTTTGTCTGTGGATAACGTTAGTGCCTAAACCGTTCAGCCAATTTTCTGCAAGATTCATATTATCGGATCAATCTAAACAAACTCAAAGCCCTGCGTGTTTGCAATTGATATTTTGATTTTATGGTACTTTACATAAAGTCTCAACGTTTCCATTTTCTCAAAAATGACAAAAATGTGTTCATTAATCACTGTCATCGGATAGCGTAGAGGACGTATAAGAGAATGTAGCAGGTATCATTTTCGTAAAAATCCCAAATTGCAAAAGTGCATTTTTTTTCGGTGTCGTCCTAAAACTACACTATGAAAAGTAGATGTCTTTCCTCTAAAAGAGTGTTTCAAAAATTACCTTGAAATAAAGTTATTTACAATTGTGTATGTTTGTCAGAGTATTGCGTACCCAAATGTACTAGATCATGAGAGTGTTACAGCTTTTCATACAGTATCTACTTATGGTTCGGGGACAGAACCCAGTAACATTTGCAGTTACCGAGAAAAAAATAAGATGTTTTCTAGAAATAATCTATCCATCAACTGGTAGCGTCCTTAAAACGTTCTTGCCAAGAAAATCTACTCAGTATCGTAAAGTAGGACATATAAAAAAAATAATGACATTTTCAACGATCGGGTTAAAAAGTTGAATTTATTGTAAGCAAATGAGGGACTAATTTAAACATCCGTTCTGTAGGTAAATTAAATTTACTCTCTATGGATTAAATATTGTCTCCCCTATTTACTATAAGACAATGAAAACAAACGATTAAACACTTAAACACACGAGTAAAATTTACGTTTTTGAACACAACGTGAAAGACAAAAAATACAAACCTTTAATTCAATAATTATAAGACATTAACATTACTTTTGGCGTGTAACTCTCAGATTTTTTCAGAAGAGCAAGGAGCTTCGTGTATTTACTAATATTAATGCTTCCATGTATGTCTTTGTCATTAAATGTACTACTCACTTATTCGCTTTCTCACTAAAATAAGCCAGCGTGACGTTCGCACTCACATTTTATACTTCTTTACCTTTACACCGAGCTTCAAATTGTCTGTTGACAGTTTCATTTCTAAATAAAAAACACTACTCACGTATCAAATATTTTATTTATATTTTATTTAGATTATTGATATTTTAAAAGCATAATATAATAGTTTTCTCTAACTATTCTGGTCGTAGAGAAAACACACACCTCAGTAGAGAAATTATTTTTCCTTCAGTATAATTACTCGGATTACAGTGATACCTCGGGCAAAATAATACATTTGTCTCCCTTGATGTACATTCTGTTATTTTGAGAAATAACTGCATTACTGATGACTAGCGACACATTACGAGGGTCAAATATAAGCAATCTACCACTTATTCTGGAGATTTTAAACCTGTTTATGTTCAGAAATATGCGACCAAGTTTCTATTTTTTCATTACAAGATACATTTAATGCCTAAAATAAGTAGGAGCTACGTGAGTGACTTTGAAGTTTTTGATTAGGAGAAAAGTGAGGGAGGCGTCCATCTGCGCAAGTGCAGCCCCTGCGAGAGACCTTGGCGGCGACGGAAGCGGTTTCAACACGCGCTCGCGCGGATGTTATGCCGAGCGGGGACACTGCGTCGCGCCTCCCCGCGCCTCCCCGCGCCGCCCCGCGACGCCCCGCGCCGTATCCCC